TGAAAAGGCAGTGCTGGTTTGGATTAGGGTAGCAGCAGAGAGAAGGAAGATGTATCAAGTAAAATCACCCAGGACTTGGAATTTGGATATGGTTAGCAGGGATTAAGGAAACATGGGAATGAATCCCAGATCTCTGTCCAGGGCCCTTCAAAACCTAATACTCTGTTGGCTGAATGGCCTTCAAAATGTAAAATGTACTACAAAATCGTGTGTGTGTGTGTGTGTGTGTGTGTGTGTGTGTGTGTGTGTGTGTGTAGGTGGTGGGGCGGGCAGATAACTCCAAAGCAAGCAACAGAAGTCCTCATGAAAAAAAAAAATGCCTTGTTTAGCAAAAACATCTTGGCGAGCCATCTTTGATTCTGCATTTGGAACGTGTCTAAAATGAGCTAAAAATTGGACAAAAAAATATTGCTTGCATAATAAGGTAAGAACAGTGTTTTGCTCCAGCCAGAGATGGATGCTTCAAGTGTTCCAAGACCAGGAAAAGCAGTGGGGCCTAACAGGAGGCAGGGAAGATGGTCCAGCAAGACATCAGGAGCTCAGTCCTGAGCAAAGTGTGCCTAGTGGCAAGTACTACCAATGAACAGGATGGCCGATGTTCACTTTGCCATTACTTGCCCTGCTGTGCTGTAATATAGTGTCCTCGTATTCCAGAATATACACCCAAATATTTAACCCAACTGCTTGGTGTGAATGTGTTTCAGGGAAATAAATAAAAACATGTGTTTTATAGTTGGGTCCATGCAGAATGGACAAAAGAGGGCGGCTGTAAGAGGAAGGACGTGGGAGATATAATTCAACAGCAGTGGGAACTGAGAACAAAGAGTAAAGAGGGAGGACAAGCCTCCTGACATTCACCACGTCTACTGGGAAGTGGGGTGGAAGATGGGAAGTAGCAGCAGGGAAACAAGAAAGTTATTTTTCATGTTCTATGAGACTCAGTGTAGGGGCAAAAGCAGGGCATTTCTGGCCAGATATTGTAGGACAAGGCAGTTCTGAGCAAACTGGATGACTAGGGCCACCAGGCAGCTGATGCATGAGTAAACACCTAAATGAGAATCTTTTAAACTATCTTTTCAGAAATCTAACTTCTGAATTTCCCCATTCTTTTTCTTCATTTCTATGCAAAAAATGTAAGCACTTCTCTACTTGGGAATGTAGGTTATCTCAGATACACACCCAGTATTCAGAGTATTAAAATTGCTATTATCTGTATCATGTCTGAGATGTCCCGATTAGGGGGAAGAGCTGAGTGTTGGAACACAGGACAATAATACTGCCTGGAAAAGAAAATAATACTGTACAATTTTTAATATTATGACTTCTTAATGCTCAGCAAGGTATAGGTTTTTCTTAATTAAGACTCTTGAACTAATGAAAATGTCTAAATTCTAGTATTAAAAAACTATACATTCTTACCTGGAATATCTAATAAGCAGTAAAATATATTGTGAAGAAAAATATATTGGAATGTCTTATCTAATTTTTTAAAGTTTGTTGTCTTATTGTTTGAATTATTCCCCAAAGAGACCTCCTAGAAGCAGAGCAGTTTAAAAGATAAATGATTGTACCTGAAAATTATCCTCATGGGCTAACCTTTTAAAAATTATGTCTTTCATTTGTGATTTTCACAGACATTATTGTATTTGCAATGTTATTGGCTCTATGGTTACCACCAGTAATTCTAATGAAAAATTAGATCGTTTCTTTCCTCCTGTTGAGATCAATGTGATCTGTAGTATTCTCTTAAATTTCAAATAAGACTTAATAGAATATACCATAAAAACAAACTGGAAAATGAGTGGCTTTTTTAAGTTTAAAGTTGCAGATGCTTGGTTTAGATTATCCTCTGAATTTGTGTATTCTACCAGGAAAAGGTATAAACCTATTTACATTATGTTGATTTTATACCTTGGATATGATTTTTTTAACTTTGCATAAATCAGGTTTTTATAGATTCTGTGGAAATTTTAAAATTAAATGTACTTTTTCAGTTGTGATAGAAAAATACAAACATGAGCATTGTAATTAGCTACCAGCTCTTCTTGCAACTCTTATCTGTCCAAGCACAATTATTCGCAAAGGTCCGTGGTGTCAGTGAGCTAACCCAAACCTGTCAGCACTGCCCTACTAAGCAGGTGACAATTGAAATGCAATTGAAAGATTTAACTTGTCACTAAGGCTGATTCTAACATCATCTAATAGACAAGATATGCCCCTTGATCTTTCCCAGGAAACCAAGTCGACAGTGGCAATTTGGTATAAATTTAGTAGCCTTTCCACCTACAACTTTAAAGTAAAGCTCACATCTTTAAGATTTTCATTGGCAGATATTTTTTGCAATAGCTTTACAAAATGGGAAGTGGACAAATGTTTTTGTTTTTAGACATAAAAATTCAGGAAATGAAACATAACCAGTCCTTTTATATTAGCTCCTTTTCCCAGTCTGTTAATTTCACGGTCTAACCAAAATTTGATATTTCATTATCCGAGCTCTCCAATGGTTTTCTCATATCAACGTTATCTCTAGAATTTGAGGAAATCTCAAGTATAGCAATAAAATATTCTCCTCCTTTCTCTACCCTCAAAGCCATAGGTAAGGAGTTGGACTCTAAGAGAAAATATTCTTTTTGTTTGTGTATGGAATGGAATCATTAAAAGTAAATCTTTAGCAATATTTTCTCCCTGAGTATTTTGAAATTTGGGGGGTGGATTTCAATGAAGAAGTTTTAGAAAGAAATATTGGGCATTTGCAGGAGTGAGCACGTTTATCACAAAAATATGGGAGAAAAAAATGAAAAGTTATATTTTATTAATTAGAAGGAAGACATCAAAACTAATGTTAATTTTAGTTAGCTGTTATTTCCTAAGAAACTAGCACATGATATTATGAAGCATTTTATTCTAAAATAAAACAGGTTCCAAGTCTTGAAACTGGTCAAAAATGGAAAAAATAAGGTTGTAGCTTAGGTTCTCTCTCCCTTTCAAATACATAAGCTTTGTGTACAACTTTACCCAAATAATTAAAATAGCTAATAAAGTTTTAAGTCACCAATTTCAGTCGTTTGTAGCATTTGTGGCAGTGGGAGAACTGAGAAAAAATTCCTAACGTGTTTCCCTCCCACTGTCTTTTCTTCATAATAAAGGTCACAATTTTGCTTTATAATAGATTGGATTATAGACCGTAGGGACTAAAAGTGACTCTTTCAGTTATCTAGACTCAATTTCTTGTTTTATACAGAAGAGGAAATTGAAACCCAGAGAATTTAAATGACTTTTCCAAGTTCACAAAGCTAAAAATAAAAAATAAAAAATAAATGGGAGAAGAGCTAGAAAATATAGAGCAGGGATGTTTTCTATGTTACTTATTTTTTTGTGATTGTTAGTTCAAATATGTTGGTCCTATAAGAGATGAATTCAGGTAAACCAACTGAAAATACTTGTACTTGTTGTTTCTCAATATAATAAGGATAGAAGACAAAATCTAGAGCATAGGAAAGAAAAGAGGAACTGACCCACAGAACAAGTGAGATACAACATAACATGCTTTGGTTTTAAAGCCTCTGGGCCAAAATCACACTTATGATCTTGGTAACCAGAAAGAATCTTGTTCCTGGAATGCCTGTAGAGACCTGAATTAGTCATAAGCTTCTTAGGAAAGAATTCATCCTTTGTTTGATATTGCTATGATTCTTGATCAGAAAGGCAAGCAACCCTCTTTTATTGTTATGGGCCTAGTCATACTGCAATTGCCTGTATAACAAATCCCTTGGAAACCTTTGACAAAAGAACCACCTATTTTGAATGACTTTCGAATACATTAGAATAAGATGATCTCATGAGGTCTCTCCCTGCTCTATCATTCTTTCCTTCTAGGTGCCAACACAACAAATCTCACATGCTTGTTTCAGAGAATTAGAATAGCCAGCCAGCCATGCTAGAATTTCTAATGGTAGGCTTATTTCACTGAGGAAATAACCATAGAAATTATTCCAAAGTATTGCCAGAATCATTATTCTAAACAGTTTAAATAAGGAAGACTCAAAGGCCAATATCCAGCACAAAACAAGTCCAATGAAGTCATGGCTTTGGTCCAAATATTTGGACCATTTGATACCTAAAGTGATAAGACTGCCTCTGGTTTTCCTCAATCCTCAACCCTCCTCATGTCCACACATGTCAATCTGTTCCTGCCTGTAGCTGGAGGATAAAAATTCCTTTCTAATCTACTTTCACAGGTAGGAGACTGACCAAAAGCTCCATTCGGTTCTTATTTAAAGCTTTTCTTTTAGCTAAAAGATAAGAAAGAAGCAGTCTAATTTTGAAGTCTCTAGGAACAACTTTAGATTGATATTATATTAAAATACAACTCCGGCCCTCCGGTCCAGTTTAAGAACCCATTGTGGCCCTCGAGTCAAAAAGTTTGCCCACCCCTGCTCTAGGAGCAACTTTAGATTGATATTATATTAAAATACAATATTCAAAAGAATATCTGGCATCTTCTTGACATTCCAGAGGCATACTTGAAATAAGTGATGCCAAAAGGAGCTAAAAATGGTAAAGGAAATTACAGAAGTGTTTGACTATCATCCAAAAGATTCTAACAGAGGAAAATTTCCCTCCTCCCCACAACCATCTTAGGGCTTTGTACTGAAGAATGCTAAAGATTTTAACTAGCTGGCAAAATACATAGCAGGTGGCAAAATATTTTGCACTTGTTAGGTGAACCTTTTCTTTTTACACCATTTTATAAGCAAAAACAGTAATTGAAAAAAACAAAAAAATCAGGAATAATTTCTATATAATAGAATTCATTCTGTGTGGAAAAACAGCAAGGTTCTGCCACCTTTTATGACAAAGAGCAACTCTTCAATGCTCAAATTTAATTCTCTGGCCTCCCCTGTTTCTCCCTGCCCCAGTGAAATACTGTGAACCACTCGTCGCATTTATTGTTATGAATCAACATGAAATTTGACAACACTTTTCCTTCCTCATTTCAGATGTGACTCATGGTTTAATCCCCCAAGGACCAGAAGCTCTACTTCAAAGTAAGGAAACAAAAGAAGCACCTTTCATTGAAGCTGCTTTACCCAGAGAACTCTAATAGTTATTATCCACTGACTTCTTAAGTACACATTGTAAAGCTAAGTGCTTGAAGTGTCCTCTCCTCTGCTTTCCCTGGGGGAAACCAATGGAGAAAAGCTGGAGAGGTAACCTGACTGATAAATCCTAGACTTGAAGTGTATCAGCGGTGCTATTTAACCACCCATTATCTCTAGGATGCTATTGGATTTTAGTGTGGGGAGCATCTTATTTCATTTTCAAGATTTTGGATCATCTTCCCTCCAGACCCCTCTGACTTTGCACACAGAAAGTAATAGATCTGAGCTATTTCTTGAAAAGCCTTTTGAATTTAAAACTTGACCCATTTTCTGCTGTTTGATAAACCACTACCCCACCTTCCCAGTCTCTCTCAGAAAGTGCTGTAGGGCTCAGTTCACTGCGGAAATCTTAAATTGTCTAGAAAAGCCTGTGGTCTTTCAAACAGGATTCAAATTAGAAGGAACAAAAAGAATGTGACACTCAAAGTAAAATTCGACTTACCCTTACTTGAAAAGAGGAAAAAATAAATAAAAAGTTGAAGCCCCTTTATTTTTCTAAATCCTAGAACTATCTAGTCCTAAGAGAAACTGTTTCTTGGTGTAGAAGATGAGGAGAGTTGAAGTTAAACAATGATCCTTTTTCCATTTCTTAAAAAAAAAAAAAAAAAAAAAAAAGGCCAGCAGAAGCAAATGCTCTGTTGGACAAATTGTTTCAGCAGATGTTCATTATCCCAGGGAGAAAACAGCTCCTACTTTGCAGCTTAACACTTGCACATTTAGAAACTTTAATATTTTTAACTTGAAATGGCCCATGTGGCATGAGTGAGATGTAAATAGTATAATCATTTATATGAACAAATGAACAAATGAGCAAGTGGTTGCATTTTATATTAAGTCCACAGAACGCTGGCACTGTTGTTATATCATTAAATGATGACGGAGCAATTGTTGCCCATCTGAGCTTCATGA